TGTGAAATTTTAACTCAAGCAAATGATGGAAGAGAATGCTTCTTAAATATGCTTATAGAATATGTTAGTATTTAACAAGCAAATATATGAAATAGCAAAAACAATTCTACTTGAGTTTGTCAAAAAATTCAAAATGGCTATTATAGAATTAAAAGTTTATTCATCAGGCATAAAATTATATCCAAAGAAAAAGAGTGGCTGAGCATGCCTGTATTCACCCCGTGCCACATATGAATGGACCTAGCTGTTGCGTGACTCTCTCCGTGCTAATGCCTGCCATAGGAAGTCGTATTTTCCTGTTGAAACCACTCTGAACATGATGTGATTAACCTTGAGTCCCCCATCCCCTCATCTCAAAGCCCACCTCATGCCCAGCCTGTGCTTGCTACTCATGTTCAGCTATCTGATTTCCATATCACCCACTCGCACTCACTGGCAGGCATTAACATAACAGAACTGTAGCGTGACTTTGATTGAGGCCAGCTTGGGCTGAATGCAGTATCAAAGCATAATTTAGCAGAAATCAAATCTAATTTACTGTGCATTGTATATAAATTCTCAAAACACAGTTTCAAGTGAACTGTCCCAGACCTCTAATCTTAATTGACCTTTTTATATTTGGGTCTACTTCTCTGGAAATCACACAACATACTTTTCTTACAGAGCTATTGTTTTGTAACTTGCAAGTGTTGATTAAACACTAAATTGTGCCATTCTGTTGGCTTCATCTCATTTCTAGTTATAGCTGAAGCAATAAGGTATAATCACTTGACAGATTAAGCAAGTAGGATATTACATCGTAGTTACAAAAGATTTTTCCAATGCTTTCAGGTTTTAGACATAATATAAATACATATTTTATAGTCTTCTCTCTTAGAGACATATAGGAGAATTGCCATTTTTATAACAGGCATATTCTTCTGGAGTTTATAACTCAATCTCTTTAATTCACATTGGGTTTAAACGTGTGTTTGGAATTGTCGTCTTGAGGACCTAGTAGTGTTTTTTTTTTCTTTTTTTATACTTAATGGGAGTCATTATAGAAAATCTATTTTATGTATAGCACACTTAGTGCTATTGTGCTGTGTTGATAAAATGCCACCTCTGTCTACTCCCTCCCATTGGTGCCATCAGCCAAATACTGTGTTTTCAGACCATTCTCACTGCCACCTGGCAGAGACGCTGAAACTGTGCAGGGTTATTAGAAGAATTGTTGATGCAGTTTTTCATTTAAAACCTCAAAAATAAATTCCTTCAGCTGATATCCCTTCACAGAATATTGCAATATAGATCTTGGGCAGGCAGAGAGTCTACAAAAGTAAAAGTAATTGATGCCATTTGTTTCTTTGGTCCACCTTCAGGTGATAATAGGAAAGGATGTGTATTTTCACAGACTTGAATACTCTTCAAAGTTTTTGCTTTGATAAATGTTTCCATATTTTCCATTTTTTTAAATTAAACAATGATTAGATGATTTTAGTTCCAGCAAGATCAATGTGGCATAAGTTCTGGTGACAATAGTCTATTGGATGCATTTGAAATACAACACATTACAACTTGGAGTAAATGTACAATATAAATAAACATCACATGAAAATATATTTTGTAGGATAAATAACAGATGCTGACAGTTTTCTGTTAGTGGTCTTTAAAATAATCCAGTATTGGGTAAAAGTTCCAGAAATTATAATTTCCTGGCCTTTTTAGATTATACTATCAGTGGCAAATATTATGTCATGATTTTGCAGAATTTCTTTGTCCTTTAAAAGCCCTGATGAAATGGTATCTTCGGTGCTACTATAAATAAAAATTCTCAACTGGATTTTCTGCCCCAACTTGTGAAGATTTCCCAGCTCTTTGTCTTTGCTCTTTCTCTAATCCTCATCTACATTGCTTCTAAAGCACCCTTTCCAAAATATAAATCTGATTGTATCTTTCTTACAAAAATGTCTTTGAACAGATCTTTATGGTTTTCAGGACGAAATGTCACACCCGTTTAGCAGGAATCATCTGGTCCTATCTATATCACCTCTGTGACCTAGATTTCTTTTATTCTCAGAATCCTTTACAAGCTCCTAAAAATCCAGTTCAGTGGGTCTCTGCCTTATATGCTGCTTCTCTTTGTCCCAAGTGACCTTACCACTCTTCACCTAGTCAACTCTTACTTGTCCTCCAAAGTACAGCTCTAATGTGGCCATGCCCTAGCACTTTTTCTCTTTTTTTTTTCTCACAACATGGCCTGATTGGTTCTGTTCCACTCTCTCTCCCCTGGTGCCCTCTGCATTTTTTTCTGTTTTCACTGAAAAAATTACATTTTGCCGTTTTTGTGTATTTGTTTATGTATTTACTTGTAAGTCTCTGCCACAGGGCAAGAACAATTTTATTTGGCTTCCCATCTCCTGTAGCAACCAGAATGTATCATCATTTTTAGTCAATCAATATATTTTGTGTGACTAAATGGATGAATTATGTCTTTTCAGAAAAGTGGATGCATAGATGTGGTCATTTGTCAGTCCTTATTTTGAGGACTATATTTTAGCAGCTGTGTTAAAATTGTAGTATCTAGATGCCAAAAGAATTTTGCAAAATCACTCATCCACAAAAAAATTTTTCAAAAGTTTGAAAATTAAATTCATGGAAGTCTGTACTTCTAAAGGACACCTGGTAATTTTACTGATAGAGATTGGTAATTTCACTGGATAGATGAAGAATAATATACTTGAAACTATAAAACACATAAATATATGTTTATATTTCATTGATTTCATTTGATGATTTCAATCATGTTTATTCTCAGTTAATAAATTTAAAAAATTTATAAAGAAGGACTGTATAGAGTATCCAAGACGCTAAGGTTTTACTAACAACTTTTGTGAGATAATTTAAATTCTTTCTGGCCCAAAGCAGTACAAATTAACTAATAAGCTAAATAGGTGATTTTTACTCAAGTCTTTTAAATGACTGATTTTGACTCAACTGAGTTTTGAATTTTTAATAATTTTAGATACATGCTAAATTATTCAGCACTTCTCACTTAGCAAATGTCCATGTTGACACTCTTATTTTTCTTTATAGAATTACAAAGAGATACTCAACTTTTTCATAACAAATATAATTTTTCTACAATATTGCAGATGACAGAAACAAACCTTAAATGTTTTTTTGGTACAAATACCTGGTGGTTTCACATTTCTACTGAAAAAAAATGGTCACTGCAGTGTTTTAAGAGTTTTCTGTAAGGTAATTTTGTAACATTGATTTAAACTATCATTTCTATTAGAAAACATGGAAAAAAAATCAATGTATCTGCTGATTCAGGAGAATTGCGTAGAAATAACAAGAAGATTGTAAGAAGCAACTAATCTCCTGAAAATACAAGGCAACACATACCATGCTCTGTTCAAACAGATTCATAAATCTGGGTTTTCCATACTGCTAGAATGAGTCTTCTGTTATCTATAGTTATAGAAGAAAATTTCTCTTAGTAGATTTATCCCATCTGTCCCTGGGGTATGTGTTAGATGTGTTGAACTAGGAGGCAGTATAATAGAACACCAAAAAATAAGTCAATACAAATCCCAGTGAATTGTTTGGAAAAATGCTGCTGCTTTTTCCACGCTAGCGTTCTTGTAAGGCTGAGGAATTGGTTTCACGTTTGGGGCTGCTCTACATTCACCCTCTTCTTGGACCTGCACTTCTTTTCTCCTGAAGCACTGAAATGATTTCAAGTGACAGTTTTTACCAGATGTCACTTATGGTTAGAGGGTTTTAAAGTACCACTAGGTTATAAAAATTAGAGTTGATTTTAAAGTGTTTTCTGTCTCCGTTTTCTAGCCTAAGCAGCTAGTTTAAGTGGAAATAGATTATTACAAAAGTCATGGAATAAGCACGGTGTTTTCTGTTCAACAAAAATGGGTTTTGGTAGGGAGATGCCCTTGTGAAAACTTCCAGTTATACTGTCTTTCCCTTTATTCTCTCAAGATCATTAGACCACCATTTAAATCTGAACTTTCTTAGGATTTTTACCCCCATCCCTTTCTTTTATTTTCTGTTGGAGTTACTTATGTCTTCGTCTCATTAGCTTCACCTGTACCATTTTAATAGCCTCCCAGTTAGACTCCTTGTTTTACAGACTAAGTGCCTTCCTCTCCAATCCATGCTACATTCATTAGAGGGTTAAAGCAGCCAAAAATTATCTTTTGCATCTGTCACTTTTCAGCTTAGAAAAAATCAGAATAAAATCCTCAGTTTGACTTCTTAAACCCTCCTTTGTAGCCAAAAGTGTTTACATAACTTGGACCCTCCATCCTGCCAAATTACACACTGTATCCTACGGTTGTTCTCGCTTCTTGTACTTTGCTCCATAATCTCCTTGTTTGGCATGTGTTCATTTTTCCGTTTACCTCAAAGCTACCATAATGCCCATTTTCTACACAGAGCTTTCTGTAGGTTTTACAACACCAAGGGATTTATTTCTCCTAAGTTTTATTATATTTATTATATATACAATAACTTAAATTCTCCTCTGCTGTGCTCTGAGATCACCTCTATCATTGCACTTCCCACAGTCTTAGATAAGTGTTGATTTAATTTTGTTTTGGTTTTCGTCATTGTCATTGTGTTTTTCCTTTCCATTAGACTATAAGCTCCTTGATGGCTTCAGGATAAAAGCTTCTCATCTCTGTATCTTGAGTGCCCAGTAGGGGAACATAGTAATTACTGGACTAATCTTTATCTATCTATATGAAATAAATTAGATTGAGTCAACCATTCAGTACATTTATTTATATTGCTTATTACCCTTGTATGTAATTCCCATCTCTTCAATTCTTCAATGTCTTTAATCTTTCAACTCTTGAATTCTAGATATAAGCACTTTAAGAATAGGGGTCATATTTTATACCTTCTGGTATCCCTGTGCCTTATATAATTCTTGCAGTTACTATAAAAACAGCCAGTGCTTGTCAATAAATTGACTTTAGAGGAAGGAGATGGTTGAGTAAGAGTGATTCTTTTTTTATCTTTATTTATTTAAAAAACAGAACCAGCTTGAGGATCCATGTTTTTCCTTAAAAGTGTTAAAATCATTAAAAAAATCTAACTTTCTATGCAAGGATATATAGGCCAAAGGATTACAATGTACAACATTTAAAAATACGTCTGCTAAAAATTTTGCTTCTTTCCTCACATTTGATTGAATATAATGTCTTTCTTTTTTGTGTTTTGAGAAATGTGTAAAAGTAAATAATAGACTGTAGTCGCTCCCTGGCACTGAACAAGCAACATAGTACCGTATTTTCTCCCTGATGTATTTTTCTTTGTCGGTGGTTGATATTTACACACTTTCTTTTCTTTTCAATTATAGCTCCCCCACAGTTTGTGGTTCGGCCAAGAGATCAGATTGTGGCTCAAGGCCGGACGGTGACATTTCCCTGTGAAACGAAAGGAAACCCACAGCCAGCTGTTTTCTGGCAGAAAGAAGGCAGCCAGGTGAGCGTGAGGCTTCGCTGCGCTTCTGACATCTCGGAACTTCTGCTGTCTCTGCTGCTCCTGAAACCTGCCTTGCTTCTCTTGTTCTCAATGTTTGAATTCATTTTATTTCTGAAAAAGAGAGTGGCGAATGTAAAACTAAGTGGGAGTCAGATGTTCTAGTAATAGCATTCTTTATTTTCTAGTATTAATCTTTTCAAAATTCTGTCTCTTACACACAACAGCAATAAAGCAATATAACAAAATTATCGTTAAAAGTCACACCAAAACCTCTGTAGCGATTTAAAATCTGTTAAGGTGAAGCTAATTTTGTTTTCTTGTATTGAGTTACGTGGTATGATAGAGTCTCTGTGACATGGAAAACAGTCAGAAATATTTTTTTTAATTGACCCAGAATTTAATTTCAATCCTCTCTCTTAAATACACAGCATAAATAAATGACTTTTCTTATCCTTAATTAAAGCATGCTTCCATTTAAGAGTAGGATAAATCTTTTCCTTCTGCGTTCCTCCTGGACTCATCCGTAGTGTGGTTAGACAGGAAATAATACGTAGTACACTAGAAGGAACCCATACCTTGTCTTTGTTCTGCCCTGGTTTGTCCTCTGCAGGGCCCTCTCTGGGCAACATGGCCTCTCAGAGCCTCTATGAAAAGTCAACTGGATATACTAGTTTTCTCATTTAGAACTTGGTCCAAACTTGGACAACTGCTTAGCTTCTAGGTTCGTAGGCAATGAGTAAAATTTCCAGCTAAAACTAGATCAAAAATTGTGTTGTTTGCCAAATAATGTGTCCATGCATTCCCATGGGACCTGGAGATATTTTCATTCTAAACTTTCTAGAAACATGCACTACTAGGCATATTCTGAGGAAGAGACCTCCTGGTGGTCTTCCTCACCACATTCTGTTATTACTACACGTTCCAGAAGAATTTCCTTGGGAATAATGGAAATCATTATTAAACGTCTCTGGAAATATAAAACCTTGGCCAGAGATGGGAAATACAAGTTGCATTAGAGGACTCTGTTGATTAAACTTACATACATTTATCTGCAACATACATGTGTGCAAGGAAGCCTTTAGAAGTTCTGTTCAGCCGTTATCTCTAACTGTTGTGGGTTTCTATAAATTCCTGTGCCAGCTCATAGTGGGCAGTTCTAACAGCTCAGTCTGGATGGATGAATGGCATTTTATTCCTCACTCAGCTCTCCTTGTTGGAGTCATTCCTCTTGTGACTTGTGGAATATAAGTGTAGTGATGGGAATGTAAGGAAAGGTGATGGCCATTGCCGTATCCAACATCAGAACTGTTCCACGTCTTAACTCTCAAATCTTCTTTATAATTTAGTAATTATAAAATAGGTTTCCACACATAGAGTTCTTTGACTGTTTGCTTTAAAATTCAGATGTTAGTGTCTCAGACTCTAAAGTAAGTGTCAGGCAGCATGACAATTAAACATATATACACACACACATAGACACACACACATATACACACACACCACACACATACACACATACCACACACATACACATACACACACACACACATATACACACATCACACACATACACATAGACACACATGCACACACATAGACACACAGAGACACATACATACACATAGACACACACCACACACATACACATACATACACACACACACACACACACAAAGGAGAAAATTCGAAATCCAGTTTGCTCCTTATAAATTGTACAACTTTTGTAGTGCTATTTAAATGTACTGAAACTCATTTTCTTAATGTAAAATACAAGGCTAATACATTTTACTTCACACAAAGTTTAAATGAATAAGTCGTTTTATATATAAAATTGCTTTACACATTATGAAGGTTAAGCAAAATGTTATGTCACTGATAATAAATATAATGATGTAAAGCAATTTGATCATTGCATACTTACACTTTAAACCCATGTATTGAGTGAAATCTCATTATAATGTGTCTTGTTATTATATAGCTAAGACTATATCATGTGTAAATCACATTCCCTAAAGTAGCGCCAAGTTGAATTACAAGGTAGTGCATAAAATGTGTATTGGCCTTGTAGCTTAATAAGCATAGGGTATTTAAATATGCTACATCTTTTTTAATGGTTTCAAAATAAATAACAATTAAATAGCACTTAAGTATTCCTTTTTCTGTATTTGACAAAGCGGCATATAATTCCAGAGATATCAATGTTAAAGATTACACAAAATCTTATGTCTTGTTTTCTTTCCCTCACCTATCTTTCTCCCATCAGAGAGACAGAGGTACAGATAGAGAGGGATGGGGTGGGAGAGCGAGAAGGAGAGAGAAAAAAAAATACTGTGAATGAGAACAACAGAGAAGTGCTTCAGCAAATTATAAATTCTCAAATCATGAATTGGGATATTGGGAAAAAATAAATCGGTCTTACTGTTTTCAGTATCCAGTTTTTATAGTGATCTATGACCATCCATCAATAGAAACAGTTAAAAGCCTGAACTTAATGGTCCATATTTCTCAATATGTGCTGATAATGCCAATTAGCTCTAATAGGATACCCAGGCAATCTCCAAGGTGGGAAGAGCTGTGAAGTTCCTGGTTTTTGCTTGTAATCCATTTTCTTTTGCCTATGTCATGCAAGCAGAGAATAAAAATGATGGGTTAACCTTCATATAATGCCATTTTCCATGTCAACGAATCATTTAGAAGGTGGACTGATGGTACATTGTAGAAGAAGAGATCCCATAGAGAATAAAGCCCATCTCATATATTAGTGCTATGTAAATTAGTATTCTAATGGCTAATTGTAGGGAAGTGTGCACTTTGAGTTATTGTATCATTTTCAAGTGACTTCAGAATTTAGACTCTCTCTTTCAGTTTGTTTATTTTGGTAATACATTTGGAATCTACAGTAGAATCAGCTGATTCTCAAATCGTGTTTCTATGCATGAAAATGTCTAGCCTTATATAGTAGCACACATTTTATAAGAGGTCAACAGCATATTGAAATTACATTCTTGACATGCTAGCAAACATCACTCCTTTTAGAAGGAGTTTAATAACATGGTAATGTTTATGTAAAGTGGGCTTATAGTGTCACACTTGAATCTAATAAAGTGGACATCCATCATGTTGCAATAAAGAGAAGAGCTTCTAATTAAAATAGGACATCGTTTGCAGGATTAAAGTCATTTAGCATAATTGAAAAGTGTTAATACCCTATTTTATCCTCTTCCATTGGTATTACTTCAAGGGTAAAAACATTTTAAGGTGAAAACGTGTCCTGTGCCTTTAATTGAATGTTATTACCTCTTGATTGCAACGTATTGAAACTGTTTAATTACAAACCTGGAAAATTAATTACTATATGGAGAAACAGATCCCAGAGGGTTATAATGTCCTTTTTTGTAAGTAAATACAACATAAAAATTGATATCTTCTTATTTATAATCCAACTTGGAAACAAGCCCCAATGTAATTTATTATACTCAAATGTTTTTCTTAATTGAACAACAGTAAAGCAACATAGTTCATCCAAATTAATGTTACTCCTCTCATAGATGAACTTTTACAATTTGTAATGAAGCTATATGTATATATGAGATATAGAATAATTTTGTTTTAAAAAGAAAGTAATATGAAATTGTTTAAGGTAATACACTTTTAGAAACATTCTACATTTTCTTTTTATCTTCAGTAATTTGCTTAATCTTGCTTAAACTGTAGTATTTGTTTATAGCCCCATTCAAAGGTGCAAAAACTGTATAGCAGAAGTACAGTCAGCTCTCTGTCATGCACTTTTGAACAACTTTGGGAGAAATTCAGTTGAGTGCATCAAGGATTCAGAATGATCGACAGCAGTCATACTTTGCATTCTTCAGAGCTGTGCACTTCGTACCACCCATCCCCAGTCCATGTTATCGGCCAGATCTTCAGGAGGCCTTAGCAATTGAGTCAGATAAGAATTGTTTTGCCCATTTTCCAGATAAAGAAACAAGTTTCAAAGATATTAACTAACTAGCAGAATATCAGGATGAGATAAAGATCCCATTCTTTAAAAACACAGATGACTTTTCTTTCAACGAGAAAATATTGACTTCTTAGAGGATGTTATTTCACCATGATTTGGAAAAACTTGATCAGTGAAACGCACTGTGTGGCATTTAAACATTTCTGTACCATATAGTTTTTAATCTATGTATTTTCTTTTTCCCACTTTATTCCCTAATTGTCGTAGCTTTTATTCACATAATTTTTTAAGTGGAAAATGAATATTGATGAGACTGTGCTTGCTTCCACAGAACCTACTTTTCCCAAACCAACCCCAGCAGCCCAACAGTAGATGCTCAGTGTCACCAACTGGAGACCTCACAATCACCAACATTCAACGTTCCGACGCGGGTTACTACATCTGCCAGGCTTTAACTGTGGCAGGAAGCATTTTAGCAAAAGCTCAGCTGGAGGTTACTGATGGTGCGATATCTTTATTAGATTTGTCTTACGAAAACACGGATTTTTATTTCTAGACACACGTTAATCATGTGGAGTTTGCTGATTTGTAAAATCATTACTATGTGTGCTTATCTTTTAAGTTTGAATCCAGGTCACATTTTTTAGTAGTTTCTAATTCTCCCTGATTGAATACCGCTCATTTTCCCCAAAGAAGAACTTCAGAGATAATTTACTTAATTCTTTAAAATAGAATAGTGCATTATTTTAAATAAATCTTATCACACTCACTGCATATTGAAATGTAATCTGTATATTTTTGTTGAGTCTTAGGCTGACATGATTGGTTCTACTAGACATTAATGATTTTATTTCACTCTAGGAGGAGGTGATACCACCTTTAATATTATCAGAGATGAGTTTTTAGTTAGCTAATCACATTAGGACATGCCTATGATTTTAATTATGCATTCAGCAAGTTAACTACCTACCTTTCAAAGTGCTGAAGAATGCTAAAATTATTATTTTTATTTGCACATATGCACTTTGAATCTTAACTGAGGCACCTACATTCATAGTGAAAGTTGAAAAGGATGAAGGGCTCTGCATAATCTGATTTTTTCCCAGCAGCTTCTTTGGCACAATTGACAGCTAGCAAATTTGAGATATTTCATGGACCTCTGAGTGTGAATTTAATCCCTATTCTTTGATGTCTTAAATTGAAAATTCTTTCTTACTCTCCTTTATTTGTGAGGATTTTTAGTTTTGTTTTCTCCCCAATGCTGGCTTCTGAGATGTAAGTGCTTTGGTCTGCGGCCTCTCTTGATCCTCTTCTTTCTCTGCTGGTGAAATTTGATGTGCTTTTATACAATTTAAATTTACATGTAGATTAAAAGGTCACTTAAAATTAATAGAAAGGCAGTATTTTTAAATATCTGTTCATGGTATGGCCTGATTCAGTGACATGTCAGGAATGGGAATAAATAGAACAGACAAACATTGGCTGCAGGGACATTGAGTCGTTAGTGGCTGCACCTGCTGATGCTGCAGAGATTTACTGCCATGGAACTGAAAGGAGAAGTCAGGTTCAAGGATAGCAGTGATGAGAAATTCTTCCTTAGATGGGCAAGCTCTTTGATTCTTTGTACCTCCATATTTTTTTAAAAGAATAAAGGATAATTATTAATGATTTTAAAAATCTTATGTTTTCACCTGTCAACAAAAATGTTCAGATACATACACTTGAAAAATAAGATATTCTGACCAAAGGCTACATTTTATTCTATATTCCTAAGAACACTCCAAACATAATGCTTAAGATACCAGCTATAATTTAGCTACTTATAATATTTTATAGAAGATTGACTGCCAAATGTTTCTAAATGAAGAAATTATTACGGAAAAGGCAAACCATATTTGTAGGAAGCAAAGGTGATGAACTAGAAGAGCCAGTTGATGTGACTGATATGGTTCATAAAACAGTGAATATTCAGAATTACGTCTGATACAATAAATGGAAAACCTTTGAGACCTTATACTAGCTCATGATATCTTACAAAACAGTAGTTTTTCTAGCTTTCCTTCTGTGGTCAAAAATAAGTGATGACCAATTTTAAATCTTCTGCCAACTGAGATTGCTCTAAACATTTTGTTACAACTGGCTTGAATATTAATTCCTATATTGATTTTTACTTGAGTAAGCAATTACAAAGTCAAGATCCTTTTGCAGAAACATTGATTGCAAGTTACAATGCTGTTGATTTTGACAGTAAAGAAATGAAACTATAAGAACTAAATATGTACACACATGTTATCAATGAATCTGTCTCTAAATATGAAGTTGCCACATTGATGCCTTAAGCTTCTATTCATAGTTTTGATTTTTCATATAGGTTAATGATTTAATAATATCTGAGCCACTATTTTCATTTTGACCACACTTATTTTGATATATTTCCGGGAATTGTAGAGCCATTTGAAATTCCATGGTAGAATGAAAACGTATGTCATGTTCAGAAAAACAAGTGATTACAGGCATACCTTCCTTTATTGTACTTTGCAGATACCATGGTTTTTACAAATTGAAGGTTCATGGCAACCCTGGGTCAAGCAAGTCTATTGGTGGCATTTTACTAACATCACGTGCTCACTTTGGGTCTCTGTGTCACATTTTGGTAATTCTCACACTATTTCAAACAGTTTCATTATTATTGCATCTGTTATGGTGGCCTGTGATCTGTGATCCTTGATACTACTATAATTTTTGGGGGTATCACAAAGTGCACCCACATAAGATGGCAAACTTTATTGATATATGTGTGTGCTCTGACTTCTTTACCCACTGGCCAGTCCCCTGTCGTTCTCTCTCTCTCCCTGAGCCTCCCTATTCCTTGAGACACAACAGTATTGGAATTAGGCCAGTCAGTATCTCTACAGTGGCCTCCAGGTGTTCAAGTGAAAAGTCGCATGTCTCGGACTTTAAATTAAAAGCTACAAAGGCTTAAGTTTAGTGAGGAAGACATGTCAAAAACTGAGATAGGGCAAAAGCTGGGCCTCTTGTGCTAAACAGTTAGCAAAGTTAGGCATACAAAGGAAAAGTTTTTGAAGGAAAGTAAAAGTGCTACTCCAGTGGACACAAAAACTGATAGGAAAGTCAAACAGCCTATTGCTGATATGAAGAAAGTTTGAGAGTCCGGATAGATCAGTGAGTCACAGCATTCCCTTAAGCCAAAGCCTAATCCAGAGCAAAGCCCTAACTATCTTCGGTTCCTTGAAGACTGAGAGAGGGGAGGAAGCTGTAGAAGAAAAATTTGAAGCTAGCAGGGGTTGGTTGATGAGATTTAAGGAAAAACACCAAGGTAAAGCATCAAGGGCTACTATAGAAGCTTCATCAAGTTATCCAGAAGTTCATTCATTAAAGTGGCTATACTAAACAGATTTTCAATGTAGACAAAGCAGCCATATATTGAAAGAAGACGTCATCTAGGACTTTCATAGCTGAAGAAAAGAAGTCAATGCCTGGCTTTAAATGACAGGCTAACTCTCTTGTAAGTAACTAATGCAGCTGGTGACTTTAGGTTGGAACTGATGCTCGTTTACTATTTCAAAAATTCTATGACCCTTAAAATTATTCCAAATCTACTCTGCCTGTGCTCTATAAATGGAAAAACAAAGCCTGAATGACAGCACACCTCTTTACAGCATGGTTTACTGAAATATTTTAAGTACAATGTTGAGATCTACTCTTCAGGAAAAAAAATATTCCTTTCAAAATATTATTTCTCATCCACGATGTACTTGTCACCCAAGAGCTCTGATAGAGATGTACAAAGAGATTAATGTTTTTATACCTGTTAACACAACATCTATTCATCAGCCCATGGATCAAGGAATAATTTCAACTTTCAAGTCTTATTTAAGAAATATATTTTCTAAGGCTGTAGCTGCCACAGACAGTAATTCAACTGAAGGATCTGGGCAGGGTTAATTAAAAACCTTCTGGAAAGGATTTACCATTATACTCTCCATTAAGAACATTTATGATTTACGGGAGGAGGCCAAAGCATCAACATTATCAGGAGTTTAGAAAGTTGGATAACTTTGAGGGGTTCAAGACTTCAGTGGAGGAAGTGACTGCACATGTGGTGGAAATAGCAAAAGATCTAGAATTAGAAGTGGAGCCTGAAGATGTGGCTAAATTGCTGCAGTCACATGATACACATTGAACAAATGAAGATCTGTTTCTTATGGGTGACGAAAGAATGTGATGACACTTTGAACAAATAAAGAACTGCTTCTTATGGGTGACCAAAGAAAGCGATGACTTGAGAGGGAATCTACTTCTGTTCAAGATTGTTGAAGTGACAACAAAGGACTCAAAGTTTCACATAAACTTCATTGATAAAGCATCATCAGAGTTTGAGAGGATTGTCTCCAATTTTGAAAGACATTTTACTGTAGATAAAATGCTGTAACACAGCATTGCATGCTACTGAAAAATATTTCATGAAAGGAGTAGTGAATCAATATGGTAAACTTTATTGTCTTATTTTAAGAAATTGGCACAGGTACCCCAGCCTTCGGCAACCACCACCTTGGTCAGTTAGCAACCATCAACACTGAAGCAAGATCCTCCATCACCAAAAAGATGACCACTCTAGGCTCAAATAATCATTAGCATTTTTTAGCAATAAAGTATTTTTAAGATACTAACTTTTTGTTAGACATAGTATTATTCTACACGTAATAGACTCCAGAATAATGTAAACATAACTTTTATATGCACTGGGAAACAAAATTTGTGTGGCCTTCGTTATTGCAATATTTGCTTTATTGTTGTGGTCTAGAACCAAACATACAATACCTCTGAGATATGCCTGTATTCCATTTATAGCAAATGTATCTGTTATCACAGTTAGACTCATTTTATGAAAATATTTATAATTCAAGCATTCATAAAAGATGAAATTGCTAATGATGCTGAATAGTGCTATGTTGAGCAAAAACTTTACCAATCGTAGATTAAGCTAATAAGTTTGAATATACTTGAGTTTCAATATATTTCTTTAAAAGACTTCTGCATTAATTCACTGGCATTGTTCTTTATTTCTTCTTTTCTTTTGCTTTATCTTTTTCTCTCCGAGAATTATGAAATTGTAATCAGCACTCCGTGAACAGAGCCAATAGAAACTAAAAAGACTGGGAGATAAGATGTATTTATATCTTGTACTGACAATAAGTGTCACATCCTGATCTTATGTGAATGGTTATTGAGTATTTATAATGCATAGTGAGAGAAAACCATGGAGTTGTTCACAGATCACTGGGATCCCTAAATGTTCATTTAACCCTTGACCTTAGTGTCATGGAAACCCGTGGTCATCTTTCACCCATAGCATCCTTGAAACTGAAAATTATGTCTGGCCAGGAGATTTTCAATTACTTTATCGATCAGATTCATTCAAAAAGTGATGAGCTACTCATTTGAGCAATAAAAAAAAGAAAGAAAAAAACTAATTAGATGACCTTTGGCTGCATCTGATGATTTCAGGGATATGACAATAAAAGCAGGTTGTAAGAAGTTACCTGAATTCTGCATAGGTACTTAATTTGAAAAAAAATCATTTAAAAATGAATTAGTATGCTTTACCCTGGTAATACAGACTCACTTTCTCACTGCATTAAAACATTACTAATAATGTTTTGTTCATTGGCTTTCTCTTTTTGACCCATAAAAATAAGTCCCATGAAACTTCTAGTTTGAATTTCTATTTGCCTAATTACGACAAATGTGCCAGAATTATTATAATATTCTACTTCAGTATTTTCTTAAAATGTTTTATTTAGTATTAAAAGTAAGAATTTGATGGAAAAAAGCAGTGGAACAAATGATTCTAATTTTTGTTTGTGAACAATACACAATTTTTATTGTTTTTCTTAGGTTTTATCATTGATAAAGTAGGTTTAGGTTGACAAGAATCTGCAATGTCTTGATACGAAGGAGCACTGTATTATAAATTCTAGCCTCAATTAAATCTGGTTGGCTTTCTCATGATAGGTTCTGAACAGGCTGCTTAACTTTAATGTTTTGTTTTCCAAAACTATGAACTCTAGTAAATATGATGCAAGTAAATTGGAAAGACAGTAATTTTAAACTGGCATTTATAAAAGCTGGTGGGCAAAGGAAATTTGAGCATTAAGCAAAGTGTTTTCAATTGTATACATTGTAATACAAGTTGACTTTTTTGAGAAAAAACACTGTTTATCTTCACAGTTGCTTAGAAATACTTTTTCTTTTTTGTGGAAGTCTTTTTTTGTATATATGTTTTTATATACTGCATGTATTTTATATGTTACATATAACCATACACAATTTGGATAATTAACCAAAGCCTGTGCTGTCTATGCTGAAGTTTATAGAACTTTCTCTTTAGAAAGACTTCCTTGGACCTGGACATATCCTTTTGATTATACGGTGATCTTTTAATGAATTCTAAATGAAATCTTAACTCCAATCAGCTCTGTATTTTTCTTAACCATGTAAACAATACTGTACATTTTGATGTCCTTCTTAAATAATCATTAAATACTTCTAAAAGCACTGAAATGCTGCTACAAAACAGTATTTCATAAACAAAAAGCAATACTAAACTAAACATTTAGAAATTATGGAAAATTTACCCAAATGAACACGACAATTGATATATAAGTAAACACTGATTTTGCGCAAGCACTGTTTTTGTCATGTGGTAAATATAATCTAGACTACTTTTCTTTGATCAGTTATAAGTACTAATTGAATCAAATCATCCAAATGATATGACCTTAATTTGGTGACCTAATGTCACAATTTTGGAAGTAAATTATTTATAATCTAATATTTTAACATCAACAGAAATATTTCAGCCTATATAAATACAGCACACAACTGGTGCCATGAGGGTAAAATTATTTATTATGAAAAATGCAAAAGTGAAAATTGACTGTACTCATATGAGACTTCACACACTTTCTTACATATGCATATGAGATAAAATGAACATTTCATAGGTGACTGACTACCATAAGCTATTCATATTTTAATTTTAATTTTAATATGACTAAGCCTTTTTATACAATTAGGTCTTTATAAAATGTCAGAATTTATCTCAATGCCATTTTAACTCTAGGTAATACAGAGGAAGCTATTGACAATAAATAGTCTGGCCTTAGTATAGCATATTTGTATGTATGTATAGATGATAGATATATGATAGATTTAGAATATACATCACTAAGAATATGCATATTACTTCGAATAAGTTGTAAGTAATATATATTGTGTTGGGGCTTAAACCTTACTTTCAATGTCAATATATCAAGCCTACTGGACTGTACTGGTGTTAAAATACCCTGAAAAGAGCCTTATTCTTTAGTTTTGACAGATAGACCCCCACCTATAATTCTACAAGGCCCAGCCAACCAAACACTGGCAGTGGATGGCACAGCATTACTGAAATGTAAAGCCACTGGCGATCCTCTTCCTGTAATTAGCTGGTTAAAGGAGGGATTTACTTTTCTGAGTAGAGATCCAAGAGCAACAATTCAAGAGCAAGGCACACTGCAGATTAAGAATTTGCGGGTAAGTAATATTGGACTTGTCCTTGAATTATCATCTACACATACGTACTGCTCTACGGAAAAATTGTGTAGTGAACTTAAAATCTTACATCCTAGTATAATTGCTGTACATTTAAAGACAGCTAATGTTATTACTCATTTTTAAAACCATGGATTGAAATCAGAGGAAAGGTCACAGTTTCTGTGTGACTCACACACTCATAACACAATCTCGAAACTTTTATTCCTGCATCCCATTCCGTATGTATACAGCCAATAAATCTAGAGATCTTAAACACATAACATTATTACGAGTAGTAGGATATTGGAAATGACAAAAAATGACAAACACTTCTGATTTACTTTCATTAGCAAAAGAAATTGTAAGGAAATGTAGATAAAGTGCCTTGGCCAAAGAATTCAGTACAAGAAAAATAAAGAGATGAGACCGAGTACATAAAAGGCAAGTTTGCCTCGTTAGTGGAGAACCTTAGATTTTGGGTGTCGTTTCCATTTAAACCCATGGAAAGCTCCAGGCATTGGTGGTTTTTCACTGACGTTTACCTGATTAAAAAATGAGCATTTCTGGCAACTTCACAAGTCAGTCCTGCTGCAGGAGCAACTCACAATAAAATGTCTACGTCTGAATATTGTATCAGTTATCTAGTATTATGTAACAATATTAACAAAAATATACTGGCTTAAAGCAACACATTTGTTACACACAGTTTCTGGGAGTTAGGAGCCTGGGTGTGACTTAGCTGCAGTTTTTGCTTCCGGGTCTCACAAGGCTCCAGTTAGGTGTCATTTAGAGCTGCCGTCTCATCTGAAGATTGACACAGGATGGATTTGCTTCCAATAAACATTATTCTTGGTAGCATCCCGTTCCTTGTGGCTACTGGACTAAAACCTCACCTTCTCAATGGCCGTTGGCAGGAGGTCGCCTTTAGTCCCTTGCCATCTGGATCTGCCCCATATGACTACTTGCTTCCTCCAAGTCAGCAAGGAAGAGAGTCTCCTAGTCAGATGGCACCACAGTCCTGTGTACCAAATCACAAACATGACATACTGACACTTTGGCAATATTATATTGGCCAGAAGGGAACCAACAGGTCCCACTTACACTCCAGGTGAGGGATTACACAAGATACAAATACCAGAAGGATGCTATCATGGAGGGCACCTCTCCTCTATCAGTACATTCGACTCGTTCACCCAGGTATTGTAGGTCCCTTCCTCCTACCTGCCATGTAGCAAGTGCTCTGCTAAAGCTGGAGAGTACATTTTAGGAATCACAGATTGGGGATGAGACCCAGAACTAAGGTAGATGATGTAATAGTACGTGAAGAAAACTTCAGTGGAGGAGCAATCTGTAGAATCTTGGGTCCAGGTAGAAATTAAGAGCCAAGATGAAGAAAAACGAAACAAAACCATATTTTAGAATTTTTCCATTCTGGAGCTAAAAAGGAAGGCAAAACTTTTTAACTACACACATTTCCAAATGATCACAATTTGGCATATTCTTCTTTTATGATGGGAATATATTTACAATTATATGTTTATCTGATTATCACTATATAATACAGATGTATATCACAAAAAAAGTGACTATTTTTGCTACATGCACACACATGCACACATAAGTTTTTACTTATATATATAAAATATTTATCTTTAATTTTTGAGATACAGGCATTAATTATTGCTTTAAGCAGAAAAAATGCTGCCAAGTTGAGTTTTAAAAAGTAAATTAATACAGATATTTTGAGCCTGTCTTTTTATTGATTGTAAATTAATTGTTAACCTTCTTTGAATAAAATGGAAGTTATTAAAAAATTAATGCCAACTCTCTTTGTGTAAACACTTTAACCTCTATCTCTGGGCTAAAGGCAGACTTGGGCCATAGAGGTTAATGCATTTTCACTGTATCACTGAATTAGAGGGTATGCTTGAGTAGTCAAGATTTCTAGTAGTGTTTGAAAGAAGCAATTAAAGGTGGGTGCTTGATGATGTCAAACAAACTTTGAGCCCTCTGACAGGCTTCTGAGTAGTCTCTCTGAGATGCCAGCTCCTGGGGGCTTGTCTGCAGTCAAGCGCACAAGGAGAAAAGTAGATGATGGAATTTGCCTGCACATTAATCTCATTTTAAAGCAATTTTTTAAGGGTAAAAGGACAGGGTGGAAAAGAGGAGAAGCACCCCTGACCAGAAAACACATTATTTAAAATTAAAGGAATAAAATGTGGTGATGATGGTAATACCAAGAGTGAATTTTAGCAATGATATTTAGGTTTTTGAGGAACCCCAAAATGAAAACGTTGTTCTTTTCCAGTAATATGACTGTCCTTAAAGGGAGAGACAAATGGGCTTTCGAGTAGTTCACTCATACAGTCAAGAGAGTTTCTGTAGGCTGTATTCCTTTGTGTCTCACTATTTTTTTTTTTCAGTACTTAATGCAAGGGAGAAAAATAACATGATGAATACTGTGTTCTCCTAGGCCAGCTAATTGGTAACTGAATCTTTATCTTTTGAGAAGTAGAATATTCCAGCACTCATTAAAACATACCTACCACAGCTAATGTCATCCTTGTATCTCCACACAATGACAAGGAGATGCAGTTAAGAAGCATTACCTACATACTTTTCTTTTAGCATTTGCAAGTAATAACAAGTGCTACATTTTAGTTCAACAGCTATAATAAAATGCAAATTCTTTTACTCTTTCACAGACCATATTCAAATGAACATCCCATTAAAATCCAACCTCAGCTCATTATATTTAGTTTGTGAGTGATGCTTCTTAAATGCAAAGATTTCTAATGACTATAATGTGTGCACAGCCACATTTGAAAGAATGGTTCTTTCTACAATGGCTATCCCCATCATCCCTCTGTGTAATGGAAGACAGTTGTACAGAGATAATATGGCAAAGAATGTCATGCCAGAGCAATTTGAAACTTAAGTTAAAATACATAATGGCATTTAAAATCAATTAAGATAGTGAAATGGCAGTAACATCCAGGCACTAATGATTTACCTGAGAATCAATCGAGAAAGCTTGAGTCATCAATACACTTACAGTTTGAACCCAGCAGATATAATATTCCATGAGCTACTATATTTCATCAACAATTAGACTCATGTTCATCACAGGATATTAATTCTGCATCTTCTGCCTTGTCTTACTTTGGTTGGTCATCAGTTTCTCTTCCCAGTGTGACTTTTCCTTTACCTCTTAATTGATGAGAATGAATGTTGTTTGCAGTATAAGCCACAAGGCTTGATCACAGAGAAGTTTTGAGTTGCCTCTTTTATTGATCTTGGGACTTTATTCAAAATATAATCAAAGAATCTTCTGCTTTTTGCATTTGTAAAAGAGAACTCTTGATTACATTATCAACTTTTTCTGAAGGTCTTTTGCCGCTCTTTTGTGAATAACAAAACCATTTAAAGTGATTGATGAAATGGCAAATTTTAATTGTGATCAAAAGAAGAGTTATGAATTAGGATATTTTATGGTCCCTTTCAGCTGGAAATTGCAGTCACTCCATAGCCATTTTTTTTGTTTCAAATGATACTTTATTCTATTCATTGTTTCACTACTGTGATTTACATATAAGTGAATACTGAAGTTTTTAAATAAAGAAGTTTACTTTAAAAACATTTCTTTTTCTGGCCGGGCATGGTGACTCACAGCTGTAATCCCAGCACTTTGGGATGCTGAGGCAGCCGGATGACCTGAGGTCAGGAATTCGAGACCAGCTTAACCAACATGGAGAAACCCTTTCTCTACTAAAAATACAATGTTAGCCGGGCATGGTGGCACAGGCCTATAATCCCAGCTACTTGGGAGGCTGAGGCAGGAGAATTGCTTGAACATAGGAGGCAGAGGTTGAAGTGAGCTGAGATCGTGCCATTGCACTCCAGCCTGGCCAACAAGAGCAAAACTCCGCCTTGGGGGAAAAAAAAAATTCTTTTTCTTTTTCATTTTTTTCCATGTCTTTCAAAAGAAAGAAAGTGTGATCCCTTATTGTCCTATTGCTTATATACTTGGGTACATTTTATTCATTGAAACATAGTTTATTTGAGACAGAACAGTTTTGCATTACTGCTTCTTTGGAATTTTATAAGATTCTGAATGAGTTCTGTTCTGAGTCGTTCCTAAACAACGTAGATGTAGCAGAGCCCCACCATAAAACGGAATTAAGAGGTAAGAGTATTACCATGGAGGAAGAAAAGAGAGGGGCAAATAGTTTATCAGAAAAATTAACATTGAGGTCCATAAATATATTTTAGAAGCCCTTTGGATCAATGTTATGAATAACATTATATGAGTTTATTTCAGTATTTTATGTATACATATGATGGACTCTAATGCATAATTTAGACAGCAGAATGATACGTCTAATTTGAAGAATTTAAACATTGCCTGGTTGTCACTGAGTAATTATTCTACAGATTGATCGAAACCATTCTGTCCCTTCTCTGCACACTAGATTTCTGATACTGGCACTTACACTTGTGTGGCTACAAGTTCAAGTGGAGAGACTTCCTGGAGTGCAGTGCTGGACGTGACAGGTGAGGACTTTGTGAATTGGGAGAAAGCTTGAGTCCTTTTAGGGATAGCTCAGTATCAAATAATAAGTTAAGGGGAAATCAAAGGGTTTAATTCACTGAATGTAAATTTAAGTCTTTACATTCAATGCCGTTTTTTAATTCATGCATGAGTTTGCACATACCATTGCATTTGTGGAATTTAACACACTTGTCCTTGATAACCTTGTTATTTTATTTCCTCTGAAGTGTAAGGAATTCTAATGGTCATGTGTAAAAGTACAGCTAACTGTTATTAACATGTAGGAGAAGCAAATATTCACTTACATGCTTCCGATTCATGGAGATGAATTTCTCACTGTCTACGTCAAGTCCTTTAGTAGACTGCTTCCTGCTTTTAGGCAGTATTGTCAACTTATGCAATCAGGAATGAAGTTTTTTCTGTCTGTCCTCTATAGAATCTGGAGCAACAATCAGTAAAAATTATGATTTAAATGACCTGCCAGGGCCACCATCCAAACCTCAGGTCACTGATGTTACTAAGAACAGTGTCACCTTGTCCTGGCAACCAGGTACCCCTGGAACCCTTCCAGCAAGTGCATATATCATTGAGGCTTTCAGGTATGGGACAATTCCTTTTTTCTCCGTTGGGTTTTGCTTTAGCTCCTGTATTCTAAACTGTCACCTGAACTATTCTGCTGTTTTATTAAAGACATGTCCAGTCAGTGCATTTTAAGAACTGATCTCTCTGACTTTATTTAAGAACAGAGTTTTTTTTTAGTTTACAACTTAATTATAAGATTTAAATATGCATTACTCATGCCTAGGTCTACAGGGATCCAGTTCATAACATAATCACTTAGCTCCTTTCTTTAGCCAGACCATTGTAGGGATTTGAGGTGAGAATTTAAGCATCAGAACTGGGTAGAAAATAATATAATTAGGCATAGGCACAGGCACTTTTTAAAGTTATGCGATATTTATTGAAGCAGGGGACTCTGGCATTTTTATTCCTAGTGACTAGAGCAGAACTTAAAATAATCCCGTGTTTTTATACCATATATTACATACATGTATTAGATATGCCTGAGAGAAAATTAAAAACAATAATTAAGAAATTTATTCCATGTGCTTGTTGTTGCTTAATGGAAAAGATGTTTCCATGTGTTATCTGAAATAATTGTTGCCAATTTAAAGATTTAAATGTAAATTAGCAAATATCATTATAAAATTGTCTTATGAGAATTTGATAAAATGCTTACACAAATGGTAAAATGTGCTTTCATATTACCTTTCAAATGTGCGTCTATGTGACATTATAAATTTTAATGGATAACCACTGTTTTTTTTAAACATTAGGACAAATGATCACTTTCTTTTAAGGCTTCTCTAATCATTATTTAAGGTAATGCTAGGTACTTAATTTTCAAATTTCAAAATACTATGTTTCTATAATTCTTATGCTTGGATAGTTAAGGATATCAGAAAAATAAACTGACCACCCTGAAAATTACATTTTCCCCTTCTTCTGAGCAAAAGTGGCATTTGACCTTAGGCAAACTGTTCTAAAATGGCATCCATCTGTGGCCGGCTGTAAAAGGGTCCTCACACACAAATTCAGAGATATTTCACCATTCTGAGATGAGAAATCACAATACTGTGTAATGTACAATTTTATTAAAAATGTAACCAAGGGAAAATATTCATTACATGCTTCCTTTCTTCTTTTACAGATATGTAGTTTTAGAAGGCTCTATTATAATATTGCATGTGGAATTGATGCAAAAGAAAACACACCTTGTAACAGGAAAATGTATTGGCATAATTTACTCTGTAGTCCATTTATTCTTTCTACAGGTTAATTCTTTTCAAGGTATATATATATATACATTTACGAGGACCATACTTATTGTATAAACTTGATGTTGTGATCTTGGCCTCTGTTCCTTTTACAGGTATTCATTTAGTGGGCTGCTGTGCATTAGCAAAGGGCTGTCACATCTCCTGGGCTGAGTTTAATTTTGTTGTGCATGGCACTTTCGTTAGGTGGGCTCGGCTTTGTTGTGGAATAAATTGAAATCATCCAAATGTTTCATTTATTGGGCTGAACACTTCAAGTGTTGTGTGTGTGTGTGTTTAATTTTCAGCCATTAACTTTGTCATTGATACCCAACTCCATTTCCAATATTCAAATGACTGTTCTTTAAATGAAATTTCTGTTCGTGTTTCAGCCAATCAGTGAGCAATAGCTGGCAGACCGTGGCAAACCATGTAAAGACCACCCTCTATACTGTAAGAGGACTGCGGCCCAATACAATCTACTTATTCATGGTCAGAGCGATCAACCCCCAAGGCCTCAGTGACCCAAGTCCCATGTCAGATCCTGTGCGCACACAAGGTACTTTCAATAGCTGTCAGCACTGCTGGTTCTAGGCAGAAACATCAGGTATTTAAGAACAAGGGGATTGATGAGGAAATGTAAATGTGCCTGCATTGCTTTGTACGATGACTCACTAGGCTTTATCCAGGGAAGGAGACGGTAGCTTGCTGTTTACCTTGCTGAGATGTGTTCTCTTTCTGGAGTTTTCAGGTTTATTCAGCAAAAAATAAAATAATTGGGTACATCTACATAGAATGAACTCACTAACTTAGAGCTTCACTATATTTCAAAGGGAGGAAAATGTTTCTCCTTCTTTAAAATTAATTATACAATAAGAAAAAAGTGGTCTTTAATGAATAGATGCCCAAATAGAGGTATAGAAATTATTTCCTATTGTTTCGGAATTCTGTTTTTCTAGTGCGGTGGTTCTCAGAGTATGGTTCCTGGATAAGCAGCATTTGCATAGCCTAGAACTGTTAGAAACAGGCATTTTCAGGCTCAAATTCAAATGCTCTGAAGTGGGGGCTCAGCGTTTGTTTTAACAAACCCTCCTTGTGATGCTGATGTATAAGTTTTACATCTACATTTACATTTTACATCTACATTTACTGCTATAATGAATTTCATTAAATCAGATGTTTAAAGGAGCAATTTATTACAGAAAGCAGGAAATCAAGTTTTCTTTCTAAAGAACTCAGTTCTTTTGGCTATAATGTAAAATACACACAGAATATTAAAATATAATTTCAAAATGGAAGATTTCATAATTTTATCCATATTACCTGTCTCTTCAAACTGAGAAGTCACTGGAGTCTGAGGTTTAATACACAATGCTACATTATAGTTTCCCTTCTGATAAGTAGGTGAAAGAAATTAATAAAATAGAAATGGTGATTTTATTATTTGTTATAACCTACTTCCCACAGGGTTATTCAGAAAGGGTTAATTATTTCTTATTTGTAAAAGACTTTGAACAAGATATAATTCAAAGTAGTATTTTTATGCAATGAAAAGCACCATACAGCCATAAAATATTATTATAATTACAATGTAGTTCAGTGATAGTAACTAGCATGCTATTATAAGAGCGAAGGGCGCCTTAAAGGAATCCAGTGAAATAAGGTCCCCACGTGACTTTGTAACGTTGCTGACATGATGACAGTCAAGGGAGGAGGGAACGCCGTTTGCTATTGTTCTCTAAGCAGTAATGTGATTAATTTTCCATGATGATAAAGGGCCTGTAGGTAAAGAACCTGTCTCTTGAGAAAGAAAAAGCACAACAAGGAATTTGAAAATCTGAAATTTGAACCTAGTTGTATTTTAACTTCCTTAAATCTGGTTGCTTTTTACGGTGTTTGAATTAAGTGTGTAAATTTTATTATTGAACTTAAAATGGAAGATGTGTACAATTCTAAGTCAAGAAATTGTAGTACCGTGATCATTTATGCCTTTGTGGATAGAAATAGTTTTTGTGTGTAGCCAGCGAAAGGCAGAGAGAGATCAGAATAGGAAGATATTTGGTGTGATTGTATCTGGCAAACCTTTTTGATCATTCGATAACTATGCTAGTCACTAAATCTTGACTCATAAAATAGCTCCCAGTGAAAAGGTCAAGAAAGATTAATGAAAAGTTGTTTGTGGTCTGGTTTGTTCCAATGGAAAGAATATATAGAGTGAAAGACTTATGTGCTCTTAACAAATATTTAACAGGAAAACTCATGTTTTGTGTCTGAAGGTCAGGATTATTTTTGGATACCATACTTTCAGCAGCTTTGCAATCTGCAAAGCACTTCTTTTTCAAAGAACACTTTGCTTTGTGAGCTCTTATTTTTCAAAGGTATTAAATAACAGAGAATCTAGAAATCTTTTATTTCATTAAAGTACAAATACTTGCATTATCAACATCAAAACAGAACATACATATATAGGCATAGATTAATATTATTCACATAAAGGGACTTTTTCCCAAATTAAGCAAATCTTCATTTTACTGTTTATGTTAAAAGTGAAAAAAAAAAAAAAGTAGAACTGGAAAAACATTACCGAAGTATTATTCTCAGTTACTTGTGGCCCAATTGAAGTTAGTGCACCCAATTTAAGTAATAGCTGAGAAATTTTCTTAAAAATACTTTTGCAAGAGTGCTGCATGCATTGTAGCCTGAGATAATAAGAAAAAACAAGATTAAGAAAATAAATACCTTTAAATTGGACTTCCTTTCTTAAATGCAGTAGTTGGAGAAAAACAATTACAACATTGTGTACCAGTTTAAAAAGTTAATTTGAGTATGTGTAAAATTCAGTGTTTAATATCAATTTGATGGACTTAGCTGCCTATAATTTATCCTTTTTTCTTAATGGACCCAGAATATAAACTATCGTATGGAGAAATAGAATAATACTCGGGAGACTGTTGAATAAGGTGGCATAACAGTATGTGACTGAGGGTGTAATATTTTAAACAACACTTTTTTCTTCCCTTCACCCCACCACTATTCCTGAAAATGGCTACATGACCTCATGTCGGGTATTAGAGTACTGCTCAAAATGTATTGCTTTAGAACATGTTATCAGTATTATAACTATTTCTGTCAAACGTATCTTTGCAAATTTGAGGAGCTGCTTCCCCTCTTCCCCCAACTCTGTTTACCTTTAATGACAGAATTCACTTTCCTGGTCCGCTGTTACTTCTCCATCCATGCTCCCAGACTGAAGTAGGTCAAGAAGAAAACACAACCTGCAAATTGGGACAAGGGATTAACAGGTTCCTTCGCTTCAGTTTTTAGATATATTCCAATTTACAAATCCAGAAAATAATTCAATACAGCAACATCTATACAAAGCTGATCTTTCTAGAGATCTTTCTAGACATCTGTAGAGAAGTCTTACAGCACATACTTTATCCTTTAGTAAGAAAATAAACGACCTTATTCAACAGTGTGTCTGCATTTGAATGGGGATGAGGGATTATAAATACTCTTTTATTAATATATTTTTAGTAAAGATCAATATCATCTCTCATTATGTCCTACCACAGTGGTATATTTATATATATAGGCTTAAATGCTTTTTGTCACAAAAAGAGTTTTAGTTTTGTTTCCCTGTAATTAGTTCTAAAGATATGATGTTGATGTACATGAAATAAATTGTAATTTTAATGTGCATTTTTAAAAATTGGGAATGATTATCTTATCCAACTGCAGATATCAGCCCACCAGCACAAGGAGTGGACCACAGGCAAGTGCAGAAAGAACTAGGAGATGTCCTTGTCCGTCTTCATAATCCAGTTGTACTGACTCCCACCACTGTTCAGGTCACATGGACGGTAAGTTTTCAAAGGCAATATTAATAGTAATCACTTCTCTTTAGGGAAAGCAAAACATGGAAAATGCAAATTAACAAAAAGTGATCATAAAAATTCTCACCATTTAAAATCAAGGTATAATCAATGACAGTAAAGAAAATCAACAAACTAAAAAGTTACTAGAATAAACATAGTTAAGAATACATGGATTATTATATAAACGTGGCATATTCTGTCTTCTGAATTTTCATACAGCTTTCTTGCAATATAATTAACATACCATAAAGTGAACAACTTCATGATTTTTAGTGTAGAGTTTTAAAATTATCACCAAAATCTAATTTTAGAACATTTCATCATCCCCAAATGAAATCCTGTGCCTGTTAGCATTGATTCTCTCATTTCCTCTACCGTAGCCCTGTGTGACACTAGTCTACTCTATGTTTTTGCAGATTTGCCTGTGCTGGACCTTTCATATGAATAGAATTGTGCAATATATGGTCTTTTGTGTCTAACTTCTTTCACTCTGCCTAATGTTACTGAGGTTCATCCATTTTTGTAGCATGTATCAGGACTTCGTTTCTTGTTGTTATCAAATAGTATTCCATTTTATCTACTTCACATTCTGTTTATGCCTTCATCAATTGATGGATGTTCCGGTTGTTTATTATGAATAATGCTGCCATGAACATTTGAGTACAAGTCTTTGTATGGACACGTGTTTTCATTTATCTTCGTATAAACCTACAAATTGTTCAGTAATATTGGTAACTTTCCATTTAATATTTTGATGAACTGCTGACATGCTTTCCAAAGTGGCTATAGCATTTTCTATTCTCACAAGCAATGTTTCAATGTTCCAGGTTCTCCCAAATCCTTGCCATTTTTTTCTCACATCCTTGCCAACACTTACTATTATCTGCCATTTGGATTATACCCATTCTAGTGGGTATGTAGTGGTATATAATTGTGGTTTTGATTTGCATTTCTTTCATGACTAATCATGTTCATCTTTTCATGTGCTAATAGAACTTTGTTTTTAGAGAAATGTCTGTTGAAACTCTTTGTCCATTTTTGGGCAAAGAGTTTATCTTCTCACAGACTTACAAGTGTTTATATATTCTATTTTGTTTGTCTTCTTATTATAGACTTATAAGTGTTTATATATTCTAGATACAAATGCCTTATCGGATATGTAATTTGCAAACATTTTCTCCCAGTTTGATTACTGTAGCCCTGTTGTGTAGTTTAAAGTTCAGTGGCATGGTGCCTCCTTCTTCCTTCTTTTTTGCTTTCGATTGCCTTAGCTATTCAGGCTTTTGTTGTTGTCGTTCCATATTGTTGCTCCTTAAAGCAAACTATATGATCAGTCAAATTCTTGGTTTATGAGTACAAAATTGGGTTATATATATATTTAAAAATAAGACTAAGTTTATAATGTTTTAAGAGTAATTATGGTTATTTAGGATTACACTTTCTTATTCCAGTTTTGATATAATTTTGCATAGATTTATTCTATTTTTTGCATGTATTGGTTTCTATTCTTGTGTTCCCATGAAGGGAACACAATTACCTTATCATTTTTCCAGTGGCACAGTAGGGGGTATTTCTGCCATGCCTTTTTTATCTTTCAGTACCCTTGAGTAGATACCAAACTAACAAAGCCAAAGTAACTCTGTATTTTTCATAGCGTATTTTTCCTCATTCTCATACGAAAAAAAGTCTCTGTTCTGTTGAAAGTTATAAGGGGGATTCTTTTAAGCTGTATCTAAATGTGGGGATTCTTTGGGTAAGAATCAACGTCATTATGTTTATGAAGTTAATCACTTTAAGTCACTGAATTTGAAGAGTAAATAGCATTAGATCAAAATTGCAGGACAGTAGACTGGGAGTTCTTCCAGGAGGGGGACATTGTCCATCCATCCCTGTACCCCAGGAAGGTATCATTGCTAGTTTGCACATCTGTCCCCATCATGGGCTGTAACTTCTGTGAGGCTACAGTCAATTTCTTCCATTTCTGTTTTTTCAGAGCAGAGTGTCTATTGTGAAGTACTCTTTTAATAACTGTTTGTTGAATGATCAAATCAGTTGTTTTCATACATTTTACACTTTTTTTAATAAAAGAAAGAATGCAGTTAATATCACTGCATATTGTTCTCCATGACTTTGTAGTTGCACTTGCCATAAGTATGCATTTGAAAGAGGTAAATTAAGTGAAATGAAGTCAGACTGGGGTGTGCCCAGAATTACACAAGAATTACTTGTGTAATTCTCTTACACAAGTCAGATAATTTGTGTAACTCTTTTATTGATGTAATATTTTCAATTTACTAAATGCATGTTATTTAAATTATAAAAATATTAGCATTTGCTTTACAGAAGTGTTGGGGTTGAAGGGAGAAATAATTCCCCACCATGTGATTAGGTTTTGGGCCAGCTGAGAAAGTTTCCCAGTGGTTGGCAGGATTAATAATCAAAGGCCCAAGACGTAACTACTGGAGAGCCCATTCGCTGCCCCCACCCTCACCAGGCTAACCTTGAAGCAACAATAGTTAGTAACAGCTACTTTCTAAAACGGCTGCTTTTAGAATGCATGTAGGCAAAAATGGTAAGAAACCTGCTGTTCCACAAAGAAAAATAGCAATAAGTCACTTACTGAAAAATGATTATTCTCGTTTTATGTTTTGTCTTTGTTTTCTTTAAGGACAAAAAGAATTACATACTCTTTGCCCATTAAGCATTATTCCACAGAGATTGAAAAGAGTGCTTTGACAAACTAGAATTTCAGAAGTCTGCTAAAACCAGATCAGACCCTTAGCAGCTAAACCCATCAAAGAAAATTCACTGAATTTTTGCTTTCTATCAAGTTGTTATGTTGTTTTGTTTTGTGAATGGAAAAGGTAAATATGAAGCATCACACGTAAACAGTTTAACTAAAATGCTGACTTTAGGGCCACATATGAGCCCTCTTCTCTTTTAGCCTGTTGCTTCCTTAACAGTTATGTTTTTTCATTGTGCATCTCTAAAGCCAGCAAAATGCTTTCACTTATATCAGTCATTTGATTCTTTCTGTGCCCTTGAGATATGGGTATCATGTGAGCAAATTAAGTAAACTGAGGCTCAGAAAGTTTAAGAGGTTGAAGTATAATTCAAATTGAGACCTAGGACTGGAAGTCTGAAGTTTTTGTAATCATTTTACTTTTTCCTTAAGGCAACTCTTTTTTTTTTATTCCTGTTTCAGAAAATACTAATTTTTTTAAATTATATAAACCCATGAATCTGTGGTCAGACTCTGATTGTAATCAACCCTAAAAGAAAATCCTCCTTCTTATAATCAGAATGTTAATAAAACTTACAACAAACATATGGCCTAACTTGAAAATGACCACCTGTCAAAATGAGCTCCAAAATTTAGTGGGGTAGAACACACATCCAGTAAAAATCTCACCTATTTTTTTTAAAGTAAATGTTCAACATGTTCATTTCTGCTTCCACCTGTAACAACAAATTTCCTCCTGAAAAAAAAAAAAATGCATTGCCACTGCACACAATCAAGTTAAACTATTTAACTATTAAGAAGCCCCATACTATATACTGGCTGAAGATAGTGTACACTGAAGTAAGCAAAACAATGTTTTGTAGTAAACATTAGCTTCATAAAGTCCCTAAAACACTTAATTAATGAAAACCAAACATGGATAAAACCAATTTACCCTGATTTACAGACTCCCTTCATCTGGAAACAGCTGCTTAATGTTCTTCTTAAAAATACAGCTTGCTTCTTTCAGTATTAACAAGCTATTATTGTGAGTTATGTCTTTCTTTCAGTATATAAATTCACTTAAAGCAAATGCAGAGAAGTTTATAAAATGCAGGTTTAATGTTGTTTTAACATATACTGCAAGGGTTTTTCTGAACACTGACAGTTTTGATGAAAGTCATCTCTCTTTGACTGTCATAAATTTAACTTTTCACCTCTTGGTTGCCTTATTTCATAGTGTCAGAAAAACTCCTGCTTTTCAAAAAATGTGTCCAATGGTAGAAACATAAACTGGTAGCATGAATGAGGACCTGCCAATCACCAGCTTCCATGTTACACCTGGGCTCACTTTTTTTTTGATCTAATCTCATACAAGTGTAGCACTAACTCCAGAAAGTCTTTGAGGGTAAGACAGCTGTCAGGCGGGTGAAGGAATTCATACTTGTTGAGACGTATCTGGGAAACTGGAATTAGCCACACACAGAAATACACGCACACTCACACACACACACAAACAGACTCACTTACTTAATTTAGGGAGTTCTCTCGTTTGGACATTCTAAATATTTCCTTTTGTTCCACTGTGTTTTTATTGAGGCTCGGCATTTTTAACTTTCTAAAGCCAATATTCTTAGCTAATATTCATTTGCTGCCCTCGATTAAAAATAAATAAAACAATACTGCAACTAAAGAAGAGATGTTAGTAGTTAATACATGAAAGAATATGCTTTGTTTATAACCTGCTGACAAATCTCAACATTTCAACGAATGTTGAAACAAATTTCAAATGCTGAACAAATTTCAAATTTCTTGGATAAAGAAATTTGTTTACAGCTGAAATTAATAACCATCTTCATTATCCTCTTTTTTATTTCCTCTTTCTCTACAAACTTCCTGAAATGAGGTTATTCCATTCTTTTCCATTAATCTTTACACTTTATTTGACATGAAGTATGTCAAATTAAAGCTTCTTAGACTATAGCTATTAAACTATGATAAAGGATATTAGTTGGAACATGCTATCATAGTTTGTGTTTAAATCAAGTGTTTCTAAAAACATGACAAAGCATTCAAAGATGTTTAATTTTTAAAAATAATTTTTAAAATCCATGGTTGTTTTCTCCTTGGAAATGAAACAACCATAAAACCCTGGTAAATATTTTAAAATAAATGTATACAGAAAAGAATATATTTAATTTTTTAATCTTGCATTTATATATATTTGATTTTTAAGTGATTATCAATAGCAAACAAAAACACTTTTTAAAAGTTCTATTTGGTATGAGTTTAATCTTAGATTGTTATTTAAGATAGCTTCTTACTGTACCTTAAAAAAATGAATATATCAAAAAAGTTGTCAAATTGTGTCAAGAATGGGACAATTGAAGAGTCAGAAGTTGGTAATTCGTAGAAGTTTTTCATTTACTACTTGGTAATGGGTGTAAGTGTTCATATGCTTTTAAAACAAATGCTGTAGCTCTACAACTTCAATCTCTGTTTTATGCTTTTTCCAGCCACAGGGATTTTATCCATGATGTCCTCACATTTGTTTTCCTGGGTAAATCCTGCTCTTCTTGCCTATCTGAGCACTTAGGAGCTCTTCATGGAAGCTTTGTCTCCCCAACTCAGGCACCTTTCTCTCCACTGTAGGCTTTCTTAGCAGCTGGCACCTCTGATTCTTAACACTTGTTTATGCTTTTTTTTTTTAAATGATTGTAACTTGACCATGGTTTAGTCATTATTAGACCACTCCTACTCTCCCCCTGGACTCCATCTTCTCACCTCAGCTCATGAGGGCAGGGACTGACTCTATTTTCATTGTGCATTTTATCCCCAGAGCTCAGCAGAATTTCTGGCACCTATGAGTACGAACCCGAAATATGTGTTTTGAGTGAGTGACGATGTTAGGGAATAGACACAGGATGAGAATGGAAATCCCTGACAAAGGGCATATTACATATAAAGCCACATGAAAGGGAATTGTTGGATGCAGAAAAAGGGTAAGCCGAGGAGACCACATAAAGCTATAGAGAAATCAGCACATAAAGCTAGAGATATCGGCAGATCTGGCCTTTGAGAGGCCTTGTGCTCATCCAAGGAATCTGAATTGATTAGGTAGGTATCTTAGGTACTGTGCGGTATTCTAAACAGGAGAGAGAGTTCTTCCAGTCTTCATTTTGGAAATAATCTTGGGAGCAATCTGAACTCTGACAGGATAGGAGTTCTTAGAAGGGAAGCAGAGAGATTAGCTAGAAAGTCACAACATGACTAAGATGAGGACAGAAATAAGGACAACTGAAAAGAGGACAAATTCACTGTGATGTCTAAAATACGTTCCTTTAGTTTCAAATGCCCTTTACCATGTGTTTCAGGTTGATCGCCAACCCCAGTTTATCCAAGGCTACCGAGTGATGTATCGTCAGACTTCAGGTCTGCAGGCGACATCTTCATGGCAGAATTTAGATGCCAAAGTCCCAACTGAACGAAGTGCTGTCTTAGTCAACCTGAAAAAGGGGGTGACTTATGAAATTAAAGTACGGCCATATTTTAATGAGTTCCAAGGAATGGATAGTGAATCTAAAACGGTTCGTACTACTGAAGAAGGTCAGTATTCAGATTTCGAATATAAATCAAACTTATATCATGATGAAACTAATTTCTGTTACAGTACCTATTTATTATCTTCCTTAGAAGAATGGAAAGATATCATCTAAGAGTAAATTGAGGAAGTGTCATTTTCTCCTTTTATTCTGAGAAGTCTGTAGACTCTGACAAGCAGAAAAAAAGGGCACTAATGTAATTTGAATTTTTCTTAAGTAACCATTTGCACCAAATCCATGTTTTTCAGTTCACTTGAATTGGATTATTAAATATTCCCCTATATTTTGTGTAGATTTGGTTCATTTGGAGTGTTGAGAAACGGAAATTTGAGAACACAGGCTGTTCATTCTGACTACTGTTTTTGTTATAGTTAATTGTGGCATTGTCTTTTATTAGCCACTTTCTCCTGTGGGCAGTTCCCTCTTTCTCCCCATTTCGGACCTTTTCTTACCTGAAGGAATGTTAAAGTCGATCTACGATGAACATGAGCTTGCTGTAGGTTTCCACCAGTTCATTTAGTGGTATCTCTTTCACTAAACAAGAGGCTTATAATAAATGTTGTCATCAAAGTTAAAAAAAAATAAAAAGGAGATGCCAAATGAAATACATCCCTCCACTCTGCTTTTGTATCAATTTTGTGCTCACAACTCTTATAGAAAGCCCTTTCTCTAAACATATTTAGAAGCCTTAAGAAAATGTATATAGGTTGCCCATGTTAACATCTATATGCTTGACCAAGGAGCTCTTAAATTACACATTTCGTATACAACACAGCAAGAATGTCATCTTCCCATTGTTTTGCAGTGTGATACACTGGCAGGGGCAAAAATGCATATTTAAAAAGGAATTATTAATCTATTTTTAGGATATGTTGAAAAGTTACCAGTAATTATAATAGTATCTTTTCTCCTTGCTAACATGTTTAAAAATAATAATCATTATCATCATATCTTTATTCATCATTAAATTTCACTCTGTGTTGCAAATTGGTAGTATTAATGAGTGGAGCAGGTAACCTTAACACAGAATGCTCTGTTTGAAGCCTGTTTCCAAAATCAATTTCACTGCAGTTAGACTTTTCCTCTGGATTAGACATTTGTCACTGTTGGGTATACATTCATCTCCAATTTCTGTGGCTGTGTGACGGTAACAAATGGAACTCAGCCGGGCTGTGTCTGGGAACGATGAGTGGCGATTTGGGTTCTTTCACATCTGTAGAAAGAAGCTGAGTCCTGGAATAATTGACCTGTCAGGAAGCAGGCACGTTGTTCTTGCCAAGACAGCAGCAAGGAGAATGAGAAACCCATTCTGAAAGTCTTATTTTTCAATGCAGTCTACTTAATAACTACAAGGCTCATAGACAAGTGGTTGGATTTATGTCATCGTACCATATTTTGGAGCAATATTGTCACAAAGAGGAATAGAAAAGAACAGTATTGTGTTAACATGTTTCTGTGTGTGTCCTATATCTCGATGCAAATATGGCTATACTTAAGTGAAGTATGTCATGACATATTTACAAAACATGGGATATCTGCTGTCAGGCTTTTAAAATACGTTTTAGGATATTTAGGATAGTTTCAAAAAAGTAAACAGTGTAAAGCTATGCAAGCATTGATTATTCTATATAAGCCATTAATACCACAAAATTATTTGGTATTTTAAACTGTCAAGAAGTATGTTATGTAATACTATAATTTTAACTACTCCTACCTTTGGTTTTAATTCAGAGACTCACTGAGAATAGATGAATTTTTCCACAAAGTTATTACTTCTTAGTTCTCAGACACTTTAAATGAGAGATGCGGCAGTCTAAAATCAGGAAGAGCTTCCCTCTTGCCTTTTCTCAGGATGGTTGTAGTTAGTTATAGGAGAAACTATAAAGGCAGAGAATTAATGTAGGAAATCAAAATCTTCCCATTTCACATTTGACCCAGCATGAACTGTGTTCATTTTATCATCAGAGTCCCTTCCCATCCGTATAAAACAAATTTTCAATCTTAACTTACAGGTCAATTGATAGCAGTCAATTATTTTTCCCTGTATGGGAAGAAAAAGAAGTTTTTTCTGGTTGATGGCATTTATAGCTATGTTTCTGTTTTTATTTAGTAAGCACAAACTAAAAGCATACCAAAAAAGCTGTCAATAATGCCACCATTCAGAAATAACACATGATAAATACTGGAATATGTCTTCTCAGAATAATTTTGGTTAGAAGAAGTTGTGGTTGTTTTTAGGAAGACAGCCTGTTAGAGTAGAGTTGTAAAATCAGACATACACAGGCTCAAATTCTGACTTGCTGTTTGACTTTCCTAAGTCTCTTACAGTAACCTTCTGTTTCCTCATCTGTAAAACCGAGATAACGGTTGTTTCTACCTCCTGAGGTTAATGCGAGAGTTAAACCTGACACTTAGCTCTTTGCGGGGTGTATAGAAAACACATATTAGAACGTTAGCTGTTAAATTTATTATTGAGAGCATATTACAAAAGCTGTTGCGTTTGCTTTAAATCTAGATATTGTATTTAAAGAATATTTCTCAAAAAAAACTGTCACTGTTGAACAGCGTGTGCATTCAGAACTCCTGGAAGCCAGAGCCTCCTGCATCTGGTCTTTCTATTCATTTTCTGGAAGTAGCACTAACGCGCACCAAGGCTTACAGTTTGCATTTATTCTAATTACTTCCTCTACAGCCCCAAGTGCCCCTCCACAGTCTGTCACTGTACTGACAGTTGGAAGCTACAATAGCACAAGTATTAGTGTTTCCTGGGATCCTCCTCCTCCAGATCACCAGAATGGAATTCTCCAAGAATACAAGGTAGGACCCGGGTGAAGAAGGACAGCCCTTGTATAAAGGTTTCCAGAGAAATCTCAGTGTCTCACGAATGAGGAACATCTCTAAAGGTTCTCTTACTCAGTTTAAGTGTAAAGTTTTTATCTATATTTCTGTGTGACAGATAATGAAACAAATGCATAGGTATTAGAACCTGAGTTCCAGGTCACAGATCACACAAATCCAACTGAACAATTAAACCACACCAGTGAAATGGTTTTCTGTATGGTGTGATTCTACAACCTCAAGGATTTAAAGAGATGGGGCAGAGAGTAGGTGGTGAAGCCCAGAAAATGGGTTTTATCTTTGTTATTAGAATTCTGCATAAGAGGCTGTAAGGCGGCTGTTTTTTAAACCACGTTCTCAGAAAAATAGAGGCTTCAGAGTTAAAGAGGTGGAGTGGGTTGTGGGTAGCACCAACCCTCACTCCAGATGCTACTTTTGTCTGTTGACTGAGGTTGTATAGAATATTTCACCTGAAAAAAAGCCACTGAAACAACACATTTTGCAAAATACTGACTTACAGAAAAAACAGTTGATTATCTCATTTTTCACCTGCTGAATTTTTGGCTGTTTAGAAACAATATATATCTATTGTTTCATTGCCATCATTTGGTGTTTAACGTAGTAAGTATGTCGAAGTTTTCAAAATAAGATTCCGTTTGTGTTGTGATTAGACCGCATGTGAATGAAAAACCCCTCATTAATCTTTGTAAAATTCAAAACTATAATTTATTAATAAATGATGTTGGTATCATCTATTAATGAATATTTCTAGATTTCTGAAAACAGCATATTCTGTACATCTAATACAATACAAAACTAGACACCCATTTCGCCTAAAAAATTCAGAGTTGGTATTTAATATTAAGCTGAAGAATTTTACTAAAAAGTTTGCAGATTAAATTTTATTTCTAAGAAAACATTAAGTTTTACATCGAATTTTATTAAAGATCAACTTGCTAAAGCAAATGAATGGACTAAATGTATACAGATTTATTTTAAAATGACATATCATGTTATAAGACACATGCTTAAGAAACATAAGAATAAATGCTTTTACAATACAATAATTATATAGGTTCTAAGATTTTATAAGCATTAGGACATGGTTTTAATAGAGTAACAAATTATCTACTCCATGTGAGCTTGAGTGTGTGTGTGTTTTAACGAGGTTAGGAATTTATTTTTGTACCATTTGGCACTAAATATCCTACATTTCCATGTAGTTAAATATTGTTACTTTTTTTTTACAACATGATGAATTTTTTTTTCATAAGTATACGTTCTCACTCTCTAGAGACTTGTCTTATTTTGGTTTCAAAGCGCATATGTAGGTAAGAGCTAAATATTCCTTCACTAAGAACACAGATATCATACATCAATAAAAGAAACACATGATTCACAAGAATTATTTTTTACTGAAAAAATTTGGGAACTTACCTGCTCCAAAACAAATCATATGTTTTCCTGCATATGTGTCTACATGTAGATTTTAAAATATTATATAATACGAACACAAATGTGGATACACAATGGATTTCTTTTCATAACACATTTTATAGGAACAATTTCCACATCCCAGAAGATGCCTTAAAATTTGATTCCTGCTTGAAATAAAAGCCTAACTTCCTTAACGTCAGTGTCGAGAGACTTGCCACCACTTTGTTCTCATGAATGTGTATGTGTGTGTAGATATGTGTTGATCAATATTAGATTTATTGCTGTCAGCGTAAATATTGGCTTTAATTTCATTTTAGTCAATACCTATAACTTAGGTCAATTAATCTTGTTAACTACTTCTGTGCAAGTTAATATTTTCTTAAATGAAATATAAATTACTTAGATGTCTACCTATATACCTTAGATATTGCAACTTATAATCACCATATTTTAGTGGATTTTATGCATAATAAATCTTGATAAATAAAGCAGAGGAAATTATGTGTTTTAAGCCACACGAAAATGGCATTTGCAACCAAAACCACACACCAGGGGTGTTAAAGAAGGCACTGTGCTTTCTAAATTACTCATTATGAGCTTTCAGTGCTGAGAATAAGATATAAATGAACATGGCATAGTTACAGCTTCCCTTATTGTCCTTCTTTTAATACAGGTGCACGTGCACACAAACACACTTACATGCACACTTATAAATAAACTGCAGAGGTTGGGCTTTAGAAGATGTCATTTACAAAACTTCTGTAAGCCTAGAAGATAGATAGGTTACAATTACAAAATATTTAATCAGTTATAGCAGTCTTGTTACCAGAAACGATAATATTATGTCCCTATGTTATTCACTTTGTTATTCACTTTCCATTTCTGTAGATCTGGTGTCTGGGAAATGAAACACGATTCCATATCAACAAAACTGTGGATGCAGCCATTCGGTCTGTAATAATCGGTGGATTGTTCCCAGGTATTCAATACCGGGTAGAGGTTGCAGCTAGTACCAGTGCAGGGGTTGGAGTAAAAAGTGAGCCGCAGCCAATAATCATCGGTGAGTATCAAACGATGTGGTCTGTGCTTTAGAATCAGTCAGCTGACAAGGTGGATGATGATTTTGCATCAACATACTAATAGTGAATATGCACTTAAGAATGTTAGGGTACATATATCACGTTGACAAATGGATTAACTGACTAGGGTTTCTTACAAAAATAGTTGGTGCAGTTGATCATGCTCTTAAAAGTCCCAGATCCTTTTTTAAATGCAATATTTAGGAGTTTAAATGCTGAAAGGTAGTTTAAAAATTATTTTTAATCAACTGCCTCATTAGCAATTTTGATGCCATTGAAATATAATAAAAATGAGATAGTTACTGAAGAGAGAGCATCATGTTTCAAATCTGTATGCTTCCTCTTAGCCAGAGAAATGTCAAAAATTAACAAGAAACAGTCCTGAAGAAACTTTATAATCTAAATATACCATCCCAAAGAAGAAATCATATTAAATCTAATATCATCATTGCATGAAAATTTTCCCTATTATCATAGATTATGTTTGCCTGTTCTTGAGATGTATATAAATGGAATCATACAGAACGTGATTTTTTTTAAATCTGGTTTCTTTCACTAAGGATAATGGTTTGAGATTCATCCACGTATATATTATTCAGTTCACGTTTTATGGCTGAGCAGTATTCAGTCGTATGAAGATGCCATATTTTGTTTATCTGCTTTTCACCTGAGAGAATGAATGTTATTGTGTAAATGTGTGTGTCCTTCTGGAGAAATACTAGGAGTCTAATTTCTGGGTGAAAGACTTGTCTTGTTTGACTTTATAAGAAACTGCTAAACAATATTCAAGTTGTGTAATTTCATACTCCCACCAGCAAGGAAAATGACTTCCAGTTGCTCTACATTGTCACCAGCATTTGAGGTTTCCAGTTTTTGTGGTTTTAGCCATTCTAGTTGGGATAACCTGTGATTTTGGCTTGAATTTTCTTTTATGACTAATAATGTCGAGAAACTTTACATGTGCTTATTGGCCATCCACATAGTTTCTTCTGTGAATTGACCACATATTTGCTTTTTAAAAATTGGATGGTCTCTTGTTACTGATTAGTAAGAGTTATTTACGCATTCTGGATACAAGTTCTTTTCCATGTATTTGTGTAACAAATATTTTTTCCCAGTCCATGACTTCCCTATTCATTTTCTTAATAATGTCATTTGATGAACAGAAGTATTACATTTTAATGAAGTACAATTTATCATTTTTTCTTTGATATTTGGTGCTTCCTAAGAAATTGTGGCTTACCTCTAGATACTGAGGATATTTTCCTCTAGAAGCTTTATAATTGTAGCTTTTATGCGGAAGTCTATAATTCATCTGAGGGTAACTGCAATGTGGTTAAAGGAATGAGGCTGATTTATTTCCATGTTGTGTACTCATCATTTATTAAAAAGACTTTCCTTTCCACCAGTTAATCATATATACGTGGATGCATTCCTGAATTCCCTATGGGATTCAGTTTGATTATATGTCTATCCATATGCCAAACCACACTGCCTTGGTTACTGTAGTTCATAGTAAGCCTTGAAATCAGGTAATGTGAATACTCCATCATTTTCTCCTGCAAAATTATTTTGTTTATTATAGGTCTTCTGCTTTTCCATATACTTTTCAAATCAGCTTGTTGAAATCTCTAAAACTTGTGTTGGAATGGTGAGTGAAAGTGCAGTGAATAAATCCATCAAAATGCATAGAGTAAATATTTTAATAATGACTCTCTTTCCAGGAATGTGATATATGTTTCCATTATTTAAGTGTTCTTTACTTTGGTCCAATATTTTACACTTTTTAGTGTGTCAACACATTTCTTGAGCATTTGATTTTGTGTGTGTGTGTTTTGTTTTGTTGTTATTTTTGAGAAAATGTTTCTCTCTCTCATCTAGGCTGGAGTGCTTGAGTGCAGTGGCGCAATCTTGGCTCACTGCAGCCTCCCTCTCCCAGGTTGGAGTCCTCCTCCCACCTCAACCTCCTGAGCAGCTGAGGCTACAGGCATGCACCACCGCTTCTGGCTAATTTTTGTATTTTTAGTAGGGACAGGGTTTTGCTATTGTGGCCAGGCTGGTCTTATACTCCTGACTTCAAGCAATCCACCTGCCTTGGCCTCCCAAAGTGCTGGGATTACAGGCATGAGGTCCTGCCACTATACCTGGCCTATTTGATGTTTTTTACACTATTATAAATGGATTTTTAAAATTTATTTTTCCAATTCTTTTGTATTACACATAAATTTAATTTCTATATGGCCTTTGTGCTTTGTGACCTTACTACCTCACTTACTCATTTTAGTAGTTGTGAAATGTTTTCAAGTGTTTTCGGATAATCATGTTTTCTCTCTCTTCTTGTTTGTGTTAATGTGATGAATTCTATTGAATGACCCTTAAAGGTAAATCAACCTTGTAATCTTGGGATAAATCACAACTGGTCATGATATATTATCCATTTCATAGATGTGCTGAATTTACTAATATTTGGTGGCTCACGCCTGTAATCCTAGCCCATTGAAGGGCCAAGCCTGGCTGATTACCTGAGCTCAGGAGTTGGAGACCAGCTGGGCAACATGGTGAAACCCCATCTCTACTAAATACAAAAGAAATTAGCCGGGTGTGGCCGTGGGCGCCTCTAGTCCCAGCTACTTGGGAGGCTGAGGCAGGAAAAGTGCTTGAACTCAAGAGGTAGAGGTTGCAGTGAGCGTACTCCAGCACACCAGCGTGGGTGACTGAGGGAGACTCCGTCTCTAGGAGAAAAAAAAAAAAAATTCAGTCCCCTCAGCTTCCATGAGTGCTTCAGTCTTTTCAACTCAGGGACGTCATTCAGCAATGTTCGGGTTACCCTTGGCTGCATCATAAAGTTATCTGGAGGTACAAAGCTGTGAAAATATTAAAGTTGTCCCTGTTTCTTTCCTTTCTGTCTGAGACCACAGTCCTATCCTTTTCTGTCACGTATTTTGCCTCATCTCCTACTTGTTTGTGATGGGAGTGCATATCCCAATACCTGTTACTTCTTCATGGAAGAAATGGAAGTGTCCAAGGAACTGGTCATTTCCTATGTTACACTTTCCTGTTCCATAATTTCTATTTGCTTCCTTTTACACTTTTCATTTCCCTTATTTGTTATGACCATATTAAGTCCATACACCTATTGTAATAGCTGCTTAAAGTTCTTTACTCCTTATTTCAACATCCATCTTATCTCATAGTCTACTTCTATTGATTATCTTTTCAGCTGACCTTAGGTTATATTTTTCTGGTTTGTTGTTTATTTACTTTCACATGCCTGGTAATTTTTTACTATATTGAACATTGCAGATGAAATAAAATTTTGTGATCTTATGAAGAGTGTTTGTGTTCTAGCAGGCACATACATTACTGTCTGGTCACCTTTAACCAGTGATGTCTTAGTTTTTACACTAGTTAGTATGAGACTTCTTAGGTTTTGCCCTTATTCTCAAGGCAATACCTCAGTAAAATATTTACTTTCAAGGCATGACCCTCTCCTGGGCTTCCGGTGAGAAGCCTTATATTTTTATCTGGTCTTCCTAACATGGTGAAATTCAAAATTAAGCATGGTTTTGCAGTGAACATGAGCTAAAACCTCTGCTTTCACCAGATCCTTACAATCTTCTCTTTGCAGGCACTGTTCAGGGTTCACCCTTGGATGTAAGGGGAGAGTATACACAAATGTGGGAGCCTCACTCTCCACTGTCTCCCTCTTTCACATGGTTCTCCCCTCAATTTTTGGTCACTCCAGCCTCCCTGAACTCCACCCAGAGACACCTCATATCAATAAGATTGAGCTGATTCAGCTGAGGTACTGGCTACCTTACACTGTATGGATTGTGGCGCTCTCTCAGGGAAACAGAGCCTTGTCACTACAGATTTCCTCTGGTAAAGTGCCCTTCATTCAATAAATGCACCCCCTTCAGTTTTCCCTGCTTTTATTTGTTTGGCAGTGCCTTTAATAAAAAAAATATATATATATATTCCATGTGAGGTCTCGCCAGTTCATGAGTCCAGAGGCCAGAAAGTTCTAAAGTTCTGAGTCCCCAACCAGGGTCGCTTAGCACCTTGCCACAGAGGCTGCTGGCGAGTGCAGAGGCTGCTCCTGTGTGTGGTTTAGGTAAACTGGGAACGAGACACTGGCATGCTGCCCCCTAGAGGTCTGCATGCTCCGCTTCACATGCCGTTGACTCGAGTGTAGAGGCTGCTCCTGTGTGTGGTTTAGGTAAACTGGAAACGAGACACTGACATGCTGCCCCCTAGAGGTCTGCATGCTCCGCTTCACATGCCGTTGACTCTCGAGTGTAGAGGCTGCTCCTGTGTGTGGTTTAGGTAAACTGGGAACGAGACACTGACATGCTGCCCCCTAGAGGTCTGCATGCTCCGCTTCACATGCCGTTGACTCTCGAGTGTAGAGGCTGCTCCTGTGTGTGGTTTAGGTAAACTGGGAACGAGACACTGGCATGCTGCCCCCCAGAGGTCTGCATGCTCCGCTTCACATGCCGTTGACTCTCGAGTGCAGAGGCTGCTCCTGTGTGTGGTTTAGGTAAACTGGGAACGAGACACTGGCATGCTGCCCCCCAGAGGTCTGCATGCTCCGCTTCACATGCCGTTCACTCTCAGAGTCTAAGACTTCCGGGCGGGGACCTTTGTCCAGCCTGCCGGTAGAGTGAGGCTGCCTCTCCCACCAGGCCTTGGGATCCCATTTAGAAATGGCGTTCACTTCAGAAGTACTTTTTAACTGCTTAACTTTTGACTATTTTAAAGAGTTTGCTGAAAACTCCTGATAACACTTGCTACTACATACCATGTTTTAATTGCTTGTACAGTTAACCTTTAATTTTATTTAGTAAAATGTATCAAAGTAGGACTTTTTTGAATTGTAAATATGTGGTTTTGTTAAATAAAAGTCAATGTAAAATTGTTAAAAAAAATTCCTATAGTTTACATATTTTTAAAGTGTTTGTCCAGTGTTTGATATCAGCCA